CGAAGGGTCCAACATGAATAGGCTATGGCCGTGCATAGGCTATGAGCCTGTGGCGGCGGCGGCGCGATGCGCGCGCGCGCACGCTCAGGACACGCTATGGCAAGGAGCCAATCTGGCGTGACAGGATGGACGCTCCAGATAACCTGGGAGGGCGGGAATTGACCATTGAAATTGATTTCGCCATCCGGATCGGATTTTGTGCTGAGATTCTGCGCTTCTCAGAATACGAGTCACCTAAGGGCTCTTACCGACGCTTAGCCAGCAGGCTTGCATAAGCTATACTTGTAACAATCGCAAGTGTCGCAGGCCAGGCTTCGATTCAGTTACAATTTCTGGCACCGTGGAATCACCCAATCTCATTTGCGACCGGCGTATGTGGTCGACTTTCAAGTAGCGGAAAGCTGCTAGAGCCGGGGTTCTTCTAAAATGCAAAGGCTGCTTCTCGAGTTGCGAGAGTGGATGCTTATCAATGAAGCAGAAAAGAGAATGGCGCCAATATGCGCATTATATTGGGAAATCAAATTAACCCCTAAATGAGACAAAGGTGCTACGTGCTACCGAAATACAGCTTTCATCAATGCAGATTGTATTGCATCCTCTGAGGGGACGCGTTTTTTGACAATGTCAGTTTGAAACAGCACAAGGGGAGCCGTTTATGCACAGCTTCGCTGATTGCAGGGACATAGTCACTACCAGGAGCTGCCCCACTGAAAAGCGGGCATTGCAGGGGCGGGTTCCCCTGCGGCGCTGTTACTAACAATTCCCTGGAGAGTACTGCTCAATTTCTGCAGAGAAAACAACATTTTCTTAAGTTTAGGAGGAACGTTCTAAAGTTTAAGAGGAACGTTTCTTCATTTAGGAGGAACGTTTTACCGAAGGTATCAGTCAATAGATCGCGACGAATGCTACATCTACAAGCAACCCAACGGAACCCCAGCGCTTCAAACACAAACGGATAATCAATCTTAAAACTCAACCAAAGTGTCCTCATTTCTCATTGATTTCATGCGCAGCCTTTGCCCGTTATCAGGCACACTTCCTGTCAAAAGCAGGAGCCCAAGATTCCCCGAAACTCTCATTCTTCCACCGACAGTGCCAAATTCCAATACAAATTGCAGATGACCAGTCCTTTCACTTTGACGTGATAGGAGCATTTCAAGGCTTGGAGACCAACCTTGAGCGCTTCGCTATTTGGTGTCGCCAAGAGCGGGCTTTTAAGAAGCCGTTCGAGGGCCATGGAAACGGACGGTGAAAGCGGTTGCGTTGCCGGCCCGCTTCGCTGGATCGACGCTCCAGATAACCTGGCACCGACGGGGCAGTCGTCAGCAATCACATCGAGGAGGCAGAGTGACGATAATGTTTTGATCTTCTCACATGGAATGATTCCTGATCCAGAGACGGCTTACGCTCGTTCGCTTAACTTTTTATGTGATGCGTCACAATCATTCCATGAAACGTCGGAGCTGACGTCGTAAGCCTGGCAATCCCTTCAGGGATCGCTTGAAGTCCTGCGGTTGATGACGTCCCAAGAATACTGCAATCGGGTGCCAAATCGTCGCCATCGATTTTCCGCTGTCTGTGTTACGATCACTTTGCCTCTCCCTTCTGTTTGGGCTCTGTTCTCACTTCCTCTTTTCCTGGCACTGAAAAGCCCGTCCCTGAATCTCGTTTGTGATACGATTGGTCTGCCTCTCCCTTCTGTCTGGGTTCTTCACTCCCCCTTTTCCCGGTACTGAAAAGCCCGTGTCTGAAAGCAACTTAGACAGTTTTAACACTCATACAAGCAATCCTCTACCACTAAGACTTACCGTGTCAGCACCTGCACCGCCCGCAGGGCCTTGTCGATCGCACCTCCTTCCACGCATTTTACCAGCGCCGCAGCTGTCGCGTCTGCAAGGCAGGACCTGACAGGGCCTCCGCTTTTCGTGGCAAGCGCGAGGAGACTCTGGAGCAGAAGAGGGGCTGAAAATTCGTCGTCTTCAAAGGACGCATGCTGCAGATAGAGGTGGGACGAAACGTCAGGATCCGCGTAGCGATGGTTTGACATGGTGCAAGAAGACACACGGATAAAAGATGCCAGTGGGCCGTCCGCTCAACACTGGAGTGACCCGTCGCCATGTCAAGCTGAGCATCGTTGATTGACTTCTCTCCAAGAATTCGAGGTGTATTCATCGTCCGGAACAGTGTTAGAAGAAAGGTCCTGAAAGGTTAATCTTTCAATGGATGCCTGCTGCGGGCAGTGCGGACATCTTTTGTCAGAATATATTCATCCAAGAACCAGATGCAAGTCGGCGAGCTACCGTCGCCTGGCCTGACATCATAAAGCACATATAATCAGCTGAAATATAAGCGACCGAAGTATTGCGAGAGCCCCAGCGGAGCCCTTGCCAATTGAACCCCTCAAAAAGTGTCGTCAAAGGAAGGCGAAACATAGCATCTCTCTCTCACCTGTTCATCCTGGCTCGTCTCCCTCGCACTCTCAGCCCCCTCCGTTGGACCCGCACTCTCCTTTCCTCTCGTCCTCAAATGCCTGGCCCCGTCGTCTCCCGCTCCTAGTTCCCCCGGTTCGCCTCCCCGTTGCTCTGGGCCCCAGCCTTCCATGAGACGCCCAAACCACTCCCCTGGTCCTTCCATTCCGCTCCGTTCCGCTGTTCCGTTTCCTTCTTCCGTTCCGCCCTCCTCTGCCGTCTCTCCGCTGTGCGCCAGACCTGGGAGGTGCTCAACGGCCAGCACGAAAAGCTCGCCGAGCCACGGCTTCAGTACAGCCGTCGCCACGTCAGCAAGGGTTTCGTCCGGGATTACGCTAACCCGTCCGATTTGTTCCTTCTCAGCGTTTGGGCTTTTCTTGGCACTGCCCGGGGAATTCACCCGGTGGCCGAAAGCGATCACTGGACTGGACCGTTTGCCGGCTGACGCGCTGCCAGCTTGAATGGTCGGGGTTCCAGGAAAGGTCTTCGCTGGAGTGGGACACGTGTCAGCTGAGGATTCGATGAAAGTGGTTGCGGCGACAGTCAGGATGGCGTCGGCGAGGTCCGCTTTCTCGTCCCTGACAAGATGAGCAAACGGAGATTTCAGCTCAATGTAATCTATGATGATGCTGAGAAGTTTCATTGGAAATAGTTACAATTGCAGGCTAAGAGCAGCACCTCCATAGCTCGAACGGGATCATTGACAGTGTCCAAAAAGTGGCAGAGCAGATTCGCCCAAAAGGACGGGAGCGTCACAGTCCCTCTGAGAGACCAGGATTGATTTTTCTCTGAGATCATTTGGTCCTGACGCGACGTTTGGCAGAGGCAGGTGGTCATGACTGAGCAATTGATGGGATGCGTGCGATAGAAAGCCGCAATTTTGAGTGTGAGCACCAACCGGAAGAGTTTCTCTGGGCGAAGGAGATTAAAACACTCTTATAGCCTGACTCTCACAGCAGAACAAGAAGGCTTGACAAGTAAAGAAGACCTGGAGGGTCAGTTTGAACCCGAGGGGCAGATTGGGATCAAGCACCTGTGATTCTCCGGCCACTCGTGCGCCAGCTTAGCCGCGTGGGATAGGACGCTCTTGAGCAGTCCGCGAACGTCCGGAGCCTGCGCCCTCTTCGGACCGTCCGTGGCCTTGGACGTCCTCGCTCGGCCGTACACGTGGCGCACGAAGGCGGCGGCGAAGTGCAGGGGGAGGGGTGCGTCATCGACTCTGAAAGCAAAAGGACGATTTTATCGGGTGTATAGATTGCTGTCATAAGATCCTGCGACTCCAGAAGTCTTCAGTTCGGCGCTGTGGAGAAGCTCAGTGCCTCTGGGATCCGTTGTGAATAAAAGTGACGGAAAGTAAGTGACGGGAAGGAGAGGCCTAGGGCGTTGAATGTTGCTTTTCTTTCGAGAGTCAGATCGTAGCCCGCCCAGGAGGCTCTCAATCATCCAGCGACTCTACAAAACCGTTTCTTCTTTACACTCGCCCCTGACTTTCTACACTCAGCGCACTCCGACATAGTTCATGACACTTCTCCCTGGACCGAAAGATGACAACAAGGTTGAGACGATGAGCAGATTGACGTGGTGGAAAGTTTCTCGAAGTAGGGAAACACTGGCAACCAAAGCTTGGAATCGAAGCGATGTAAAAAGTTTTCTGGTGTTGCAACGCCTTACCCGATCGCCGGCAGCAGCCCGAGCGCCACGGCGTCCCCGCACAGCGCCAGCACCGTCAGCAGCGCGTCGTCCAGTGCCACGTGGCCGCCTTCCGGCCCTCCGCGCGTTTCCTCCGTTCTAGAACGCGTCCGCTTCGGCTGGGGGGTATCTCCGGACACCGGCACCGATTCTACATCCGAGCCCACAGCCGCGAGCGCAGAATGGGACCAGGAGACCAGCTCGTGAAAGGCGCTCGCTGCGGTTGCCCAGGCTTCAGAATCGGTACCGTCTGAGGAGTCGCTGTAAGTCTGAGAGTGGGCGGCCCAGAGAATGACGAGCTTGGCGTATGCGCGGATGGTGACGGGAAGGTCCGGGGAAGAGCTGGTACCTGCAATTGTTTGGGGATGTATGTAAATATGCGTAGCGGCTTGACGGCTCCTCTTTCTCCTTTCTGGCACAGCGGAAGTTCTCCTTTGGTTGGGCTCAAGCAGCTTCGAGACACCGAAGACCTTCACTTCTGTATCACGATTGTTTAATGCACAAAGAACTCAACTTGGCCAGGACCACAGATCAGGCTTCGAGCGTCAATCCTGCTCTTGCATGAGAAATGTACGCTTCTTTTGCAGCCGACGCAGCAAATATGTCGTCTTGGAAGAAACACACCGCCTTCTCCTCACGGAGCATGAACACGACCATTCCAACAGCGCGGGAAAACATGCAGGATATACGTAAGTCAGAGACATCGATTCGAGCGACTCGCGCACAAGTGAGGCCACAATAATTGCCAATACAGTGCAATCCGCAATCTTGGCAGACTAAAACCGCCGCGTGATCGATGGTGACCAACGTCAACTTCTGTCAGTCCGCAAACTTGGCGACAAAGTCATCAATCCCTGCGTGCGAGGGTTCAGTCTAAAGAGCGCTGATTATGTTCCTGATGAAAAAAGGGAACTACATACATTTCTCACCTTGCAGAGCCAGCTGCACGGCGTCCCGGAGCGCGTCGAAGAGCGCGTTCACACTGTCCGGGTCGTCCAGCAGAACCGCCCGGGTCGCCTCGTCTTCCAGCAGAAGCTCCACGTACCGGGCGGCCGCCCCGGGGGCCATAGTCGCTCCCCCTGCTAGTAAAATATGAAAGTTCCTTTTGGCTCCGTTCCGTTGGCTGAACTTGAGAAAGAACGTTAAAATCGTATACGACAAAACCGGGATCCCGAGAAAAAGGCAGTCAACGGCCCACAGACCATTTTGAATTCCGACTTTCGCGACCAAGCTAGCTCCGTGGTAGTCTTTGGTCGCTCAAGGTGGGGACGGTCCCCCGACGCCCTTTCTAAGTCTGATGATTCATATCCAGAATCTGTACGTGCCCTCTACAAAAAGCGACATACGATCAAGGCTGAACAAGCGGTGCCAAAGGGGAACGCCGCACCGAATCTTGAGGACCTTGAGTGCGCTCATCCAATGCCCTGTCGCAGCTGGGCCGATGTTCCTCTCCAACATCAACGTGAGTATTGCAAATCATCTCCAACTTTTCAATAAGGATATGGCAGCGGTGTGGCCTACGGACACATATGAAGCTCACCTGATGAGTTTCCATCTCCGGTCTGGGCGGCAGTAACCCCTTTCTTGCGGCCGCGCTTCTTGCCCTTGAGTGGAGTCGGCTCGGTCGGCGAGGGAGGGCTAGAGCTTTCCGCAGCGATGGCGGCGGACATGGCGCCCGAAAGATCCGGAAGGCCGCCCCAAGAGACGATGAAGAAGAGAATAGCACGGATCTGCGAAGCACAGAATCGCTATGAGGCTTCTTTGTCATATCCAGTAATGTACCTACCTACGCAGATATTTGCGGTCCTTGAAAGGGCATAAGCGCTCCTTAGCGCCTGCACACTTCATGAGGGATTGTCCAGTCGAAGCAATGCTCTCACAGCCTTTCCTTTGCTTACTACATGAAGTTGTTGCGACTTAGTGGTCTGCCAGACTTAGCTAGGTTACCTAGACGGGAGATTAATAAGCGAGCTTCGTTTGGAGTATTACAGCGGGGATTGCAGAAGTGAGCAGACAATCAGCTGTAAGAAAATGCACACAACGCCGTCTACCCTTCTGCTCGCAGCTCACCTCTTCACATGCTGCCGGGTCCGTCTCTGACGTCACGGATGACACCAGCCGTTTTCCGCAGTGCTGGATGAGAGCGGGGGTCTCAGATGGTGGGAGGAGGCCCGCCAAGCGCAGCACCGAGGATCTGTTAAGAAGCGCCACAAGCCGTTAGACGTGCCTGCCGAAAAACGGAAATAGCCGCAGATATGGAAGCGGAATGACAACTCGTGTCAAATCAGAAATGCAGATTGGGTGATGCTAAAGCTTTTAATCATGAAGGGAGTGAAAGCACGTAAACCGATGTCGGTTCCACCGGTTTACAACTCGCGACTGCACAAAATTAAGCACTATGTTAAAAGTTGGTTTTACAGAGTCATGACTGAAACGGATTGGAGCGATGAAGGGAACGAGTGAGGCGATCCAAAAGAGCCCACAGGTGCAGAAAGATGGGAAAGACGAACCTTGCACACCCCGAGGCCGCCTTATCGAGCAGCTGGATGAGGAGGCTGCTGGGTAACGCGTCAACTAGAAGATCCATCTCAATCCTCTGTTCAAGAGCGCCCTGCACAACAGAAATGAAATCAGCACTCGAGTAATCGGCAATTGGTGAACATGAGAAGAGACGGAAGGAAGTGCAGGCAGAAGCGGCGAAAGGGAAGGACGTTCGTATAATTCTGCAACTCTTGCAGCTCGGTTTAGAGCACTTAGAAGACTCGTATTTAACAAACCAAAGCTTTCCAAGGGTCTCCTCTAACTTAGGTTGAAGGTTTCGGGAAAATGCTGCACAAAGCGCTTCATAGAGCTTCTCTTACCCTGATCATTGGATCAGGGATCCGGCTTTGAAGACAGGCTCCAAAACCTCAAAGGTGGTTGAGTCAGACGTTTGTAAGATTTCATGGTTCCAGCTAACGAAAGTCCGACAAACTCACCTTTGTGAGCGCTACGACGGCTTCCAAGATGCCCTCTTGCTGCTCGACGCTGAGCACCGCACTCTCTGCCTCCGCTGAGGCCCCGTTCGTGATGTCCGTCCCCGCCTTCCGCTTGGAAACGCGGCTCCTGCTGGTGCGCTTTCCGTTTACTGGGCCCGAAGCGACGCTCGACAAGGTCACTGTGGCGCACAGGTGGCTGCCGATGTGGAGGGCTGTGTCAGATGGAACGCCAGATTCCTGCAAAGGCCGTAAGCATGACGTCAGCGATCAGTGAAGAAGCTGATTGTGAGACTGCCACTCGTGAAGCTGTCCCGTACTCAGCACTAGGGATTGGATCGGAAGGAAAAGGTTTTACCGTTCGTTTTAGAAACCATAAAGAGGACATGTGTCCTATCAAGGGTTTTGTTGTTGTAGAGGTGTTGAACCTGTTTGAGCGTTTTGATCCAAAGGGCAAAGACGAGAGCTCTCAGAAAAAGTTATCGGTCGGTCCATTAGGACCGAAGATCAACAATTCGGCATGCAACGGTAAGGAGAAGCAGCCGTATCGAAGTCAGGGGCCGGTCAGTTGCAAAAGTTGCAAAGCGGCTCTGGTGCCAAATTGAGGCTATCACAGCTGCAAAACTACTCCAATCCAGCTAAGTTGCTCCTATAAATCAAAGCACTTTCCGAAATCAGTACAATGCGGCCAAAGGTCTTGCCTGCATGTGTCGGCACAGCTGGGCTCCCGCGGTGGCGTTCTCTTTGACGAGGTCGAGGACCCTTTCGGCGGCGACAGAAGCCTAGTGAAAGAGACAAAGCAACATGTGATCAGTGGCAACTTTTGAAGATGGTGATGGTGCTCTTTATCATAGAGAAAGCTTTGGAAGTTGGTCACGGAGTCGAAGGGTGATTTGACTAGTTGGACGACGCAAGAGAGACGGCACTTGTTTACTACAACCCGCAGGCATTGTGACTTATTTCTTCCTGACGAAGTAATGTTTCAGCGAGCGGGCCCTCAGGATTCTCAAAACCGCTTGTGTTCCATCCTGGAATGTGAAACGGTGAGGGAAGAACAGAGGGAAGACGGTGAGGGAAGAACAGAAGAACAGAAAAGAAGCTCTCCAAACTCCCCTGCTGCAAAGAACAGGCTTGGAAAGGACGTAGCTTCCCACTGGAGATTCCAAACGCTGCGCCGTTCCTTAGCACCTACGACATGCCCTTGATGATATACATTGAAATGGTCAAAAGACGGACTCTCACTGGGGCATCCGCAGGCACGTAGCTCCGGATCAGCAGCCGCGTTAGCTTTTTGGCCATGGGCGCCTCCGCCATTGCCAGGCTCTTTAGAAGGGCCTCCAGGTTCGAGCGCTGAAAGGCGGGGTAACAAAGGGATTGTCTCGATGCTCTTCTAGTCAAAGATTTAACACCTTTTTCCGCAGCGCTTCCGCTGGTCACGGGGAGACGACGACTGCAGTTTGAGCAGTCAGAGAGCTGCTTTAGTAGTCGAGCAGTCGCGACCATCGAAAGCAGCTATGTGATCTTTTCAAAGAAGGAGAAAACCCAGAGAAAGCGACTTAGGAGAAAGGACGTAAAACCAACTTCAACTGACTTCTGATATACCCACAGCGTTCGACACGAGCCGATGTCCGCTCAGGCTCAAAAGTTGATCCAACACTCCTCGAATCAGTGAAGGTAGCATTGCAATATTTTCCGCCGGCAGACTTGACTGGATTCCTAGACCGACATACCCAAGCGCTCCGCACCCCTACTCACCCCAAATCTTCACCCGTGCGATGACTTTATGCTACCTAGCATCATGCAACCTAAAGTCGAGCCTCCCACCTCGTCCAGCTTGTCGAGCGCCTTGATGTTGCGGACGGCCAGCAGCAGGTCCACGGACGCCAGGCGCACTTTGGGGACGCTGTCGTTGATCATCGGGGCCAGCCTGGGCAGCACAGCCTGCAAGATGAAAGGTTTAAGTTTAGGACAAAAGTTTCTGAAACCTGTAATTCGTGACCAAGACGACGGGGATTTGCAACCGGACATCCTCTTATGGCGGAATCTGTGCGCCCTCGTTCAGTCGGGACTTGACGAGACTTCTTCGCAGGCAAGAAGTGCAGCTTACCTGAACGAGGGGGTGGCTGAGCGGGTTGTGGAGCAGGTAGGTCACCCCGTCCAAAACCGCACAACGGACTGCACTGCTTGCGCCGTCGTATGACAGTTCCTCTACCTGGCAAACAAAGCATTGACAAGTTGATTGCAATTTCTTAGTGGCATCGGCCGCAAGGTCCGACGCTTGTTTCGGCAGTGTTGGAGGACAGGTTCAACGACAGCTGCTCAACGTTTTCTCTTTGCTATGCTCGGGAAACCGAAGCAGAGACACAAGGTGCATTCTCTTATGGAGGAAGCAAGATCTTTGGAAAGCTCTGGATCCTGATGTCAGCGGATAATTAGACCCCTGATCTCTGCAATGTCCAACCCCATCAGGAGACAACGCTTGAAAATTGAAGCAAGTCAGTCTGCAAACAATTGGCGGGGCATCAGCTTACCAGGCGCGCTATCAGTTTGGCCGTCGTCGGGCTGGGAATGAGCTCCCAGAAGACCCGGAGGATGCGGCACACGCCCTCAACTGCGGACGCTCGGACGGTGGGGGCGGGGTCGGACAGCAGCTTGTCCAGCAGACCGACTTGCTTCTGCAGGCAGATTTCCGGGTTTCAGGACGACAGGAGCAGTTGATTCAGGAATCGATTGAGGAAAAAACCAAGTTCATGTAGGCCGCACATCAGGTGTGCGCGTTTGCATTTACTGAGGCTAGAAGACATAAGGGCGCTATTAACTTAAGACTGAGTCGGAGTTGGCAACGAAAGCAACCCGCTTCTCCAAGTCAGACGTTCTATAACCCTCGTAACGGCCAATCTCGATGACCGTACACAGATTCTTGTTCTCTGTGTAACCAAACCGACAGAGCCAGAAGTTGACAAGGTTAGGAACGATGTAACGAAAAACAAGATGTTCTGACGGGAAGGGGGTTGAGCCCTCGAATTTCTCCGGTCCTCTCCTTCTTGCTAGCGTTTTTCCAGTGCGATTGGTGCTTGCCTGTAAGAGAGCGTCCGTTTGATCGTGCGGAGCGTCCGGGTTCTGGAGTGGGAATACGTCCACGAATAGGAGCAGGGCGTTGTGTCGCACAGAGGCGTTGGCCACCTGGTGATTAATAACACTGTGATCTTTGAGTAGGTGGTTAAAAAGACACTGCCACGGACTTACAAACGAAGGCATGTTCGGCCACCTTCTTTTTCAAAAGGTGATTGCGACCGGTGATCTGAGCCAATCTAAGCTATCCTCTGGCTATTTCACTGCACCCGCCAGTACAGAACAAAGTTAATAAAACCGACTCCATTTGATTAGCTTGCTCAAATAATCGAGTGATTCAAGGGTCCAACGTTGTTACTCTCAGATAGTGACAACCTGAATCGGCGACAGGTTCGTTAAGGTATTCGATCCCAACACAAGAATCGATACCATTTCCGTCAGCGAAGCAGGAAAGAACGCACAGAAACCTCTGGCATCGGCAGAGGCAGAAGTTTTCTAGACGACATTGACGGGTGAAACTTTTGCTCCTCTGCTTTTTCATGGTTGCGGCAGCAAAGTGTGCGATCGACTTAGCGACTCCTTTTCTTAACAAGAGAATCTGAGGGACACTTACGGCCCAATCTGCCGGTACGACCCTACCTGCAGGGCCCGAAACAAGAGCGGCTCGTAGAGGCGCAGCAGCAGTTCGTCGACGCCCCGCTGCTTCTTCTGACTATTAAAGCCCCCCAGCACGCGCCGGATGTTTGCGGCCAAGCCCGGGGTCGATGCGTACAAACACGCCTCTGCCAAACGCTGCCAAAAAAATACAGAGATCTCGGTTCCAGGATCTCCAAGGAAGGTAGGGTCTCAACAATGGGCGGAAGAACTAGGGACTTCGAGTCGCCGTTCTGCACCCCAACTCTGATGTACCCCGGTCGTCAACGGTCCAGATCGACCCAAAGCTTAATCTGCTGCTGTCAATCAGAGGGGAGCTCAAAGGTAGGCGGGGGACACGATCGGCAACTTGAAGCGCACTTTCTCCTTCTATGGGTTGTTTCGCAAAACTTTCTCAAAACTGCGCTTATCTTCCAGAAGGGCTGTGAGTAAACAGCCCGCTTTTAGTTGCTCGGACCAGGCAGAAACCCTCTGCAATCATGTCAAGAACTTTTGCAGGATCTGCACTCTGCTGTTCTGCGGGAACGAGGGCAAACGCTAGCCGCTCAGGACATTCCAGTTGCTAGCTTGAGCAACTTAAGGGGGTCGCGCCGGTTGACAATCTCGTAGGTAAAGGGACTCGAGTGCAGGTAGGATCTACTGCAAGCATCCCTCTCGAAAACTGTGTCTCTACTTCTCGAAAGCACTAACCTCAAAATCACTCGCTCCCACCGTCACCTAGTCAAAATTTCCTATATAAGGCCACCCGTCCCACCTGGTAAACTTGTGACTCCAGAAGCTCATTGTTTCGTAGCTCACGATGACTATTCTCAAACCTGACCAACGTGCTTGTCGCCGTGACAAACTAGGTTGCGTCTGAAAGAATGTGTTCGACACAGGACCATTTACGGGCTTCGCAAATGGTCCTGTCAGGATTCGTTTTCCCACCTGCACACAATTGTACTCCAGCTCGTACAGGCACGGCCCCGAGGCGACCTTCCACGCCTTGAACAGGATATCGCCGTACGTCTCTAGGATCGACTTCCGTCCGGACGGGATCTGGTTCCGTACGATGGCAAAGATCTCTCGGACCATCCCCACGTTCAGCCCGCACAGGTACGTGATGAAGCGCCGGCCCTCGGCGGCTTTGAGGAAGATGGGCGCAAAAGTCGCCCGCAGGAGGAGCTTCTTGAGGGACTCGATGCTGCGCAGAGAACGAGAAATGAGTGTGCCATGCAGACAAGACATTCAACGCTGAACAGACAGGAGCAGTCTATTGATAACTTACAATGCTGTGTGATGCACAATAGGGCGCCTCAGACTGGCGTAAGTTAAATTGGGTTCAGGCAGAGATCTATGATCCACTTTCCTCAGCTGATTGTGTGAAGCTCTGTTTCTCGCCCAAATGCACGACGAGCACAGGAAGGCAGCAAACGGAGATTTCGGAATCGTAGATCCCTTCAACAAAGAGAGGACTTCTCTGAAGGCTGTCTCTCGAGGATATGCTATTATTTTTGCTTTCGCCTACAGTGTCTCGTTCCAAGCGCAAGCCCACCTCTCATCCGCGAAGTCGAACATGGGCACTGCCTGCCGAACGGCAAATACACGATGAACGTCCGCTGTCTTTCCATTGTCCAAGGCCCGGGCAACAAGATACGGGATCGTCTGGGCCATCTGCAAGATAAGAATAGACACAGACTCGATTGAAGGCCGTTAGTCAAAAGGATTCTCATGAAAATTGAGATTTGAGTACCCCTCAAGACCAGGTGTTAGGCATTAGGCAACGAACCAAGCAGCAGAAATTCTGAGAGGGGACTCGAGCTGAGCCCTTGACATGTTGAAGGTCGGCTAGACGACTGCACAGCTCGACTTTCAAACCTCTGGCTGGTTTGCCGGTGTGCGCAAAGCGGAACGCGGCAAGCATCAATAGGTCTGGGTGGAGTCAGCACGATTACACGAGTAAGATGGGATCCAAAGCTCTTAGGTTTGGAACGAAAGTGTGCTTACGATTTTCTCCCTGCCCGGAAGGTTCTGGGCCCACCACGCTTCGCAGAGCCTTGCGGCCGAGTCCTGGAGTGAAGCATCCTCCTCGAGACCCAGCAGCTGCATGTGACAATACAAGGCCGGTTCTTAGACATAATCTGTAGATACAAGCATAAAAATACTCATTGCTCAAGGGTGCCAAGAAGACGTGTCACGGTTAGGTGAAGGCCATCTGTTGACATCTAAAGTAATTGGAGAGAGGCCTCGTTCTTCGATTGGATGACCATGGGAAGGTTGCCATGCAGAACGAGTAGGCTCAGAAACAGGCCCTTCTTGCCAGGTATGATCACATAATCTCTAGCTTCGACCAGGTACGGTATGGTAAATGCAATGCCCTGGAGTGCCACGTTTACAAGAGTCGTCGAACAATGAATGATCACAAAGCATAGGGAGTCGGTACTCACCACCGAATGAATCGCTTCCACGGCTGGGAGAAGCTTCCCGGATGAGGGCCCTTCAAAGCAATCGTCCAGCGATGCGCGGATCAGAAGCACCAGGGCTCTTAGGTCAGTGTAGAGGGACAGCCTCTGCAGACGGAAAATAGAGCACTAATAAGTTTCCAACAGTGTATGCAGAAGTATGAGTAGCATTGTGCTTCATCACATGAGCTTCCTGGAGTGGCCTTAGAAAGGCCTGAGCGTGAAGTGAAACTCCTACTTGATTGCAACTGCTTCAACTTCTCTTGTTTGCATTCCTTTGGTCTCCAGGTTGAGTTGCATGTATGAACACACCCCGAACGCATCCCCTCAAATCCAGGATTGAGAAGACGACCCCCGTCTTTCCATTTATCTCAATTGGACGCTGTTGTTGCATACTAAGCTGCTCCTTCGCACGAGCCAATACCACTGTTCCGCAGCATGTTCCTCATTTTCCAATGTCACCCTGTAGGACCCAGCGGTCCAGTCACAAGCACCTCACCTCATTCTCGCTTTCGTCCCTTTCCTCCGTCTCAGCACTTTCTTCTTGCTCTCCCTTCTCGAGGAGCTCCAGGAACTGTCCGATCAGCTTTGTTGCCTGAAGCGCAATATTGAAGCTTGTTATTGGTGCGCCAGAGTCCTCAATCAAGGGCAACCAAGTCTCAGATCCTGCCTGACTATCACAGCAAACGGTGGGCCAAGTTAGCCCCTGCAAACGGTCCATAAGCTACTGTGCTTCTTGGAGGAACTACCGGCTGGGCTACCGGGGGTTTTCAAGAAGCATGCAATGCCACTCTAACCTGTAGAGATCCCGCCAATTCCAGACCAGACTAAAAGTAAGAACTGGCACAAAGAAGTCAAGCCAAAATCTGAGCATTGACCTGGACTATGCATGAAATGGATATAGGCGTGTTGCTGGTGCTAACCTTGGCGGATAGAGCATCGCACAATCTGGGCCTGCATTTCTTTGGGAGTGTCTGCAGGAACTCCTCAATGTTCAAGTCGTCCTTCCGCAGATGCTGCAAGATCATGTTTACCAGCTCAGAGTGGTTGGTAAAGTATTTGCTTTTATCAGGGGGCCAGCTTTGATCATACGGCTTGAGACTCGTGCAACGCGGTTCAACAACCCTCTTGCCTATGCCAGTATTACACAAGCTTGACCCTTGGCTGTGAAGCAGACTACTCTCACTCAGACTAAGAAAAAATAAATACTCCTTCAAGCTGATATAAACCGGGTAAAAATGAAATGAAACTAAACGCCGATAGTCCCGAAATCGATGGAGATGCTTATGTATGCCACCGCAATGACCTCAGTGCCACAATCTCTGCTTCCCACAGAAAAATAATGATAAACCACTAAGAAAATCCCTTCGGACCCTACAATGCAGCAGTGATTGACCGCTTCCTTATATGATCAAGCCTAGTGCGTCTGGCATCCAAAAGATTGTCTTGTTGAAAAAGCGAAGCGTGTGACTCACATGTCGATTGACAACATCCAGGACTTCATTCCACCTGTCGTTCTCCAAGGCCTCCAGGAAGGCCTCTACAGGGCGCATGATCAATTGCCTGCGGTGGATTGTGCACACTTCTTTTTATGACAAATTCTTGCTAGCCGTTCGCTGCCCGTGCCAGAAAGGAAAGTCGAAACCCCAGGGTGAAGCCCTGAACAAGAATGAACTTCGCCGATCGTCCAAACGACCCAACGCAGAAGCCTGTTCTATCGGGTAGTAACTCAGCACAGACCAATGCTAGGTCAGTTGGCGCGCAGCCATCAGTATTTGTCACAGTTGCTAGATAGACAGAGACACAGACTTGCTGGGGAGATCCGTCCGAAGCTTCACAGCCAGACCTTTCCGTCTCGTTATACGCAAATCGCTGCCTTGGTACACAGCCGCCCGCAGCCCGCTGCCTTGCCCTCGAATTTGAAGCATAGGGAACCAATGTGTGCACTGTTGGCAATGCACTAACTACACACAGGAAGGAGCTGTACCGTATTTCAATTTTCAATGCTCAGTCAATATGGATACCGTATATGTATATCCATCAGTCTGTATGCCAGTCTGTATGGTCTGTGCCACGACTGTAGTCAACAATCCATATTCAAACTTTACGCGCGCTTTCAAACGGCTACGATACACAAGGGAAGCAATTTTAACGGTTGAAGTCGGCTGTTACAGTTGCAGCCGTCTCGCTGACGTCATCATCTATGACCTTCGAAGTCGGTCCGGCCCTCCTTCGTCGTGTTTGTGCAGCTTGTTGCTGACGTCACATGTTACTTGTCTCCCTGTGGCTGCTGAGTTCAACAAGAAGTCTGAAAAGTTGCAGTGGTCGTCATATGCTGCCTTCTGGAACTTTGCTGGGCAAATCCAGAAGCTGTAGCGCCCATGGCGGATGCCGGTGCCGTCAGGAACGGGTAGGGCTTTGAACCGATCATGCAAGAGATGCAGCCAAGTGCAGCCTGCTACCTTGAAAGGAACCAGGCGTCAAACTCTTGCCACCTGGCTTCTTCCCGGGGTTGAAGGTTGTCAGGTGCAAACGCAGGCGGCTCAGTGAATGTACTCACCTGCAAAGGTCCTCTGTGGATATCGCGTGGCAGCATTGGGTATCGGCATTGTCTACTCAAGTGTTGCCACTTGTGCGAGCATCTCCATGCAGATTGTGCTTTTCCGCGGGGCGGGAGGACATGCAGATGGAGACGGCGCCCGAGGGTGCGGATCAGGGAGATCTTCCCAAGCAGGAGGCTCGCGCTAGCCCGCTGGAAAGCGTGCATGGTTCGAGCAACTCTCTTCTAGATAGCATCAGGTCGCTGCAGAGTGTAAAGTCGTTTCAGAGAAGTCCCTCCCTCAAAGACCGGCTGCAGCAAGCTCTGGCAAAGAAGACCGGGCAAGTCTTGCCAATTGTGGATGGGAGAGCGGAGACCCCCCCGGCAAACCTCTCGCAGCGCTTGCAAGCGATTGTGGGGAAACAAAGGCCGGTGCTCAATGGCGCCGACAGGGGTTCCTTTGGGATCAGAGAGCGCGGCCCCCAAGAAGCAGCGGCAGGCTTGAGACTGGACAATGGTGGCCACGAAATTGGCAAATTAGAGGAAGTTGGAAGAATGTCTGATGGGAGGGATGCTTTGGAAGGACAGGATTCACCAATCGGATCGCCTGCCCGCAAAGAGTCTGCTCATCAGCAAAGGAGCCCTGAGAAAATCAGTTGGTTGCAGCAACCTCCGACTTCAATCTCCAGCCCAAATCGAAACTCGAACGCGGCACTTGGGACTTTGGAGGGAAACGTCCATTCAAATGGCACTAAAGAGCCTGACTTTGAGGCATTGGCACGGCGGATCATTGACGAAATGGAACAGGAGCAGCGAAGAGCTGGTAGGTTTTCAGAGGGGAGGCCTTCGAGGAAGCCCTCCATTGGTTTCCCCCTGGGTGGGCAAAGCGCGAGTGCGCAGGACATGAGGGAGCAACTAGGTGCGGGCGCCGGTCCAGATCTCAACTTGCCTGCGGACTTAGCAGACAGTGGAGCTGGGATGAGCCAGGCGCAGGGGCAAGAGCGAGAATTCTCGGCACAAACGTCAAACATGGATGATTCCGTGTTTCCGGGGGGATCTGGGGTGACCCAGGAAGAGATGGCAGTGTCGAACATCCCCTTTGCAGCTGCATCCCAGAAGCGCGCCTGGTCAGAAGCTCTAGGGGGTGAAACCCTAAAACCATTCTCCGGTGGGGGTATGCGACGTGCGCAGATCGTCGATCTTTCGTCGGACAGCAGCGATGGAGAGGAGCCGATTGGGGCGGACCGGGGGGCTCACGGGGGGTTCCACTTTGAGGGAAAGCACCCTTCTGAGGGGAAGAAGCGCGAGCTCCCCGAATGGGCCGCTCCAGGCCGCCCTTCGAAGCGGCCGTCCTTTGGCCCCCGAGGAGGAAGCGCGCCCGGCGGATTGGACCTACCTTTTGGGGCAGCTTTTGGTCGAGCCTTGTCGCCAGAGTCCGAGGGACACTCTTCGGACCCTTCGCAGGGGGGCCGAGGGAGAGTGCTTCCCAACTGGTACACTCAGCAGAGTAAGACTCA